AGTCTGAATCCGGATAACGATTCATTGAGAATTAACCGGTTATTCGGATAAATTATCCGGATTCTGCCCACCACTATTCTGACGTACAAGTCACATTAGAAAACACCGAAAAAAAAACACATAATTGATAGACATACTTGTAACTCTACCAAACCGTCCAGTGGCCTGTCACTCCTGTGGAGTGCCCGGTCACTGGGCAAGTAACTGCCCGAGAGTAACGGGCAGATATCCACAACAACCACCTCCACCAACAACAACATCAACAACAACGACCAACTCATACAGTAATGCACTCAGACAAGCACCCAAACAGAACAGAGAGCACATACAGAAGACACCACTTCTCCCAACACCAACAACACCCGCACAACAAGAACCCGCCTCACAGAGACCGGCCTCGCCGAGGCCTAATACACAAAAACAAACTAACACAACACGACCCTCCTCACCGCCGCCAAATCCTCCGACACTAGACTTAGACCTAACCTCACCGACAACAACAACGAACACAACAGAAACAGACCCAACACAGCACACCCCAACACCCCCCACACCGAATCCGCCTGCTCCTTTGCCCGACACATCACCACCAACAGACGACACCAACACGCTCGACCCAGTCCGATTAGACTGGGTCAAAGAAAGCGAAAACATAGCAACATTAGACCAACCAACAGAACACATCCAAATTGATTTTAAACAAGCACAAAAGAATGCCAAAAAAAAAAGAGAAGAGCCGCAGCAGTTAGAAAGAGAACAACAGAAGATAGATGTAGAGGTAAGAATAGTGATTTAGAGGAGAAAAATAGATTCAACATACTCAGAGACACAGATACAGATAGTGACAAAATAGACAAGAAGAAACAGGCTAGAACAGATACAACACAACACATGTACACAGATAGCGAAGAAACATCGGATTACTATTAAATTCATTTATTAATATGTTTCCTTTTTCTGTTTCATGTTCAATCAGCACCACAAGAAGACTGAACTGAAAATAATGACACTGAATACAAGAGGAACGAAAGGTAAGCTGCCCCAACTAACACACCTCATCACTACACACAAACCAGACTTCTTACTATTACAAGAAACGAACATAGACACCAACTACAAAGCACAAGCATACACACACTCACTAGGTCTAAGCAAAGGCATTTTTAGTCTAGGAACATTCTGTAAAGGACCAGCCATACTACAAACATCCAACAGATGGCACATCACACAACACACATCAAATAACGAAACAGGCAGAATAACCACCGCAACAATCACCGACAAGACAAACACCTAGATCTAAATAAAAATGGA